AATTCTTTAGGACTTAATTGTATTCTTTCCATATCTTGGTTACTTTAGATAACTATTATACTTGGGGTATTTTGAGTAGTTTCAATTTTTTAGAAAAGTCAAAGGCCATTTTGGAAATATGGCTTTATTTTTAGGTTATTCATGCATATATCCTCTCATATTGACCATTGGTGTAGCTTCCTTGACTTTGACTTTATGACCACTCTATCTAAAAATTGGCAAGATGGCCAATTTGAATTATACAAGCTAGTCGTCATTTTAATCCATTATTTTTATATATCTATTCTATTTTTTCTAAAAGTAAATTTATATTATAGCTTTAACCGTCTAATTTACTCAAATAGACAAGAATAAAATCATTTAAAACCCTATGATACAAGACTGAAAGAAGGACTATTGCCTCAATTCCCTCCAAAGTTCCGCTTTCCGTAACCACCAATCTCCCCTGAAACCCCTTGCTCAAAATCCACAATTTGATGAAGAAATCAGATACTGGGTCAAGAAAAACGTTATATATGCCATAGTGAATGTTCATTTGACAGAAATCTTACTTGCGCTTCCCACCTTTTATAAAAGAGTTTCTTGAAAAAGTTACCTTAATTAATGTTTGGAAATTAATTTTCAAAAAGTTTTCTACCGGAAGAGTTTTTAGATGAATCCACATTGGATAATCTTCATTTAAAAGCTCTTCTAAGATGTGGAATCCACAAGTATAAGATGTATGTCACTTTTTCTATTGACATATAATTCAAATATTTTGAAAGCTCAATAAATTTTTTTCTTTTAGGGGAATATACTAAAATTTAGGTCAACTAGTTAAAGGTCATTTCAAATTCAAAATCAGTTCACCACACTTATGACCTTCATTCACAAATCTCACATACGCGGTCAAGACTCACCCACAAGAATTTAATGTGTGCAGTGCAGATTGATACATGAAGAAACATATACCATGTATTCCAAATAAGTTTTAAACAAAGTTAATGAAAACTTTATTTACCATTCATTAATTTTACTAGTATTTGATTCCAAAATAACATGTTCAATCACTTAAAGTATTATAGCATCAAAATCCTTTTTATTTTTCCTTTTTCTTCATATTTTTTTATTTTTATTTTTCATTTTAAAAGAATAATGCAAAAAAATGAGATAACAACAAAAAAAATATAAAAATAAAAAATATAGTGCATACATGAATATGTAGAAACCATAATAAGGCACACAAGTGCTTTTACTTTTAAGAGTAACATCGCAATTTATAACATCTCTTTAACTAGAGAGCTCACTTTTTTTTTAACCTAAATCCTCTTAAAAGAATATGTAATCTTAGTCAAATAGCTCATCATGTTAATCAAGTAACTCACTTGATTCGTCAAGAATCTAATATGGGTAGTGAGATCTTGTTTATTGTTCCTAATCAAGGATTTATAGTATCTAGGTCTAATATGACCTAATTTACCACGATTGTAACAAGTGAGAATAAGTCTATGAGCAATTCTAGGTTTCATTTGAACCTTAGGTTGAAGAAACATATGTTGCACGAATGATCTCTGTCTAAAACTCCTATACTTTTAGATTTGATAGAGGCAGGTACAACCTTATTTTTAGAAGAAGAAGCAGTATGAAAATTTGTTTCATTATAGTCTAAGCATCTCCTATTCCCAGTTGGTTTATTCAATCCTAACATGTTTCAAGTTTCTTAGTTCAACTAGAAAAATATTGAACTTGGGTATTAAATTTCTCAAGATCACTCATAAGAGTTTTAACCTTAATTTCTAAGACTCTTTCTGAATCCTTAACTCATTCAATCTTCAAGTTGACTCTTCAAGTTTGACTTCTAAGCTTTCATTTTCTAACTGTAGTTCATGTGATTTCTTAAAAGTAGAGCTATTAATCTTCTCCAACTTAAGCCTCGAGACATACAGCTAGTCAAATGCTTCTTATATATCCCAATCATCTTCCGATTCTTCTTTTGAAGAGTTAGATTGCTCTATATCCTCAAGTGTCCCACTCTCCTCTATAGGTTCACTCTTAACCACATAAGTGAACGCCATATAATTCCATCTCTCATCAAGATTGGAGTTCTCACTTTGAATATCAGAGCTAGACTCTTCATCAGTGACAGTAGTGTTTATAGCCTTACTTAGGGTTTCTTGTAACTTGGGCACTCAAATTTAACATGTCAAAAACTCCAACACTTATGACACCTCACAGATTGAGACCTCTTTAAGAGATCCCTAGTATCTCCTTTCTCTCTTTTATCGTTCCTGTTTTTATTAGAGATCCCTAGTATTTCCTTTCTCTCTTTTATCTTTCCTGTTTTTACTAGAGTTACATTTAAACTTATCAGGAAGTCTCTTATCATTCCTAAAGACATTTTTAAATTTTCTAACAAGGTAAACTCCTCAACCTTTAGGGTGTCATTATCAATCTGATTACTAGTCCTTTTGATGTAGTACATCACAACTACAATTAATAGTTTCACTTTATCTAAGAGTTTGTCTTTTTTAAATGATCTTTTCTAATTTTCTTTTCTAGTAATAATAAATTTATTCTTAAATCTTGTTTAGATTATGATTTGTTTATTTCCTTTTAAAATTTACTTTACTTATTTAGTTTCATTTTATTAATAGGACTATGGAATAATTTTGCCTATAAATATAAGGGTATTGTACATTTTTTCAACAACATTCAATTATTATTCAATATATACAAAGTAATGATTGTTCAAATATCGTTCTTATTTATTATATAATTCTTATTATAAGAATTTTATAAATGCTTTCGCACCAAAATTGGTATCAGAGCAAGAAAATTGTCTTAATCCGATGGCCAACGAAGGTACTGGTGGCAGTTGAATTACCGACAACGAATGGAGGCTCGACAAACTTGAACAACGAATCGAGGGGATCGATGAAACCCTTTACAGCATCACGCAGATGTTGACTGTGTTGGGTTTTGAAAGGAATCGCGAGCCCGTGGAGAAGCAAGCTGACAAGAATTTGCAGACCTTAACTGCTATGAATATTGGTTGTTTCAACAAGCATAGAACACGGAAACATGTGGCTAGAGATTTTCCTCGAGTCCCAACCAAGTTCGAATACACACAAGTTATCAAGGATTCTTTTCTTCAACAAAACTCTAGGACGAGTTTTTTTTCAAGTGAGAGAGATTGATGTAGTANTTTGTTCATTTTATTAAATAGGATTAGAGAATAATTTTGCCTATAAATATAAGGGTATTGTACATTTTTTTCAACAGCAATCAATTATCATTTAATATATACAAGACATGATTGTTCAAATATTGTTCTTATTTATTGTATAATTCTTATTATAAGAATTTTATAAACGCTTCCGCACCACTTTTCCTTAACAGTGTTTAGGGCTAAAAACCTATTTTTCTTAAACTTGGGTAGGCTAAGCTCCTATATTTGGAGAGATCCTAAAAGTTCTTTTATCTTAATAGTATCTAGACATTTGCTGTCTTCAATGGCTGTGATCTTTCGTCTAAATCTTTCAGGTAAGGATCTCATCACTTTTCTCACAATCTTAGTCTCGGGGATTCACTAGGTCATTCAATTTAGCATATAATTCATTAAAAGACTCTTCATTCTTCATCCAATTTTTTTCAAACCCAGTGGTCAATATTTCAAGCTTAAAGTTTTTCACGGTCTTAGTTCCCACATGTATGATTTATAATGTCACAAGCTTCCTTAGTAGTCTCACACATGAATACACGCTTAAACTCTTTAGGGGAAATAGCCATAAAGATGATATGGGCACTTCTACTATTTCAATTACACTCAGCTAGATCATCTTTAGTCCAAGTATAGATATCTTTTGGTGTAACAACACCAGCAACATATGTATGTAGATAGGACGGTCCAACCCTATTTCTACACTAACCCCAAACACGTTTATCCATTTACTTTAAAAATGCTCTCATTCTAACATTGCAATAGGCATAATTATTACCATGAAAATAAGGAGGAACAAAAAGTGATTGACTCATCTAGACAAAATAGGGTCATGAATCGATATTAAGCTCTAATACACAATTGAAAAAAAATTTAATGATCGATCAAACAATGTTTAGACCCAACAATACCTAGATGTAAAATTAAAACAATCAACCAATAAAAAAGCAACGAGTTATTTATTTATTATTTCTAGATGATTAAGTTTAATGTCAAATTAAATCTTGAGTGTCAATCATACCATATAGATAAAAAAAACAATAAAAGTAAAGAAAATCAATTTGATAACGAAGAAAAATATCTTGAAGAACTCTTCACATGGATCAAAAACCTCCAAGTAAACCTTGTCACAAGATTCACTAGAAAAGATAACTTATAGTTGGTTCAGACACAACTAAATCTTAGCAGACTCTAATCAGCCAACCTGTAAATCGTTGAAGAACCTCTTCATTGTGAAACCACACTTTCTAGCAACTCTAGACTTCTTTGCCCTCCGCATGGATCATCAAGAACGAACTCGTTCCAGAACAATAGAAATTCCGATTATCTTTTTCCAACTTCAAGACTCTGAAGGTTTATTAATGAATGTAATATTTTTGGTGTTTGATCTTTTGATGTTTTGTATTTTGATCTTTGAGTTAAATCAAGAGATTTATGGAATGTGTTATTGATCTTCAATAATATGTTCTCTTGAATGAAAATAAATTCAACATGCTTTTAGGATGGATTGTGCATGGGTATTTATAATATAAAGTGTTTGAGGTTGAATGGCTTGGTAAAAACTGTTGAAAATCGCGAATAGAATTCACCCTATTATCACCACTGCTCCAGCAGTGGTCGATAGGGAGACAAGCAGTTACACAGCCCCTCGAGCATCGGGCACGCGTTCAGTGAGCAATCAATGTTTTGAAATTTCTGCTTAAGCGCCATCTCCACGGTTGGCGAGCATTTTTCCGGTTATTTTTTCTCCTTGGTCCATCTTTGACTTTTTTGACTCATTCAATACCTATACTATCAATCACAGACTCTTTTGACTTTAATTACAACTCAATAACAATGATTTTGAACACATTAATAGCCAATAACATTTTGGACCTAACAAGAACGATAAATGTGACTGAGGGTGAGAAGACGGTTCAATTTGAGGTTTCAGGTTTTCTAATCTTTGTGATTAAGTTCCTACATGAACATTATCGTGTCTTACAGAGCTCTGATCCTGAATCCTCGAGGTGGAGTAAAATAATAGAGTTATATCGGCAATTCCGCCAAAAAGATCTCAAACTGTCACACCTTCAAGAAGATTGAAATAAGAGATTGAATCAGCTTTGATGGAGGTTATTATATGGAGAAAGTAGTTGAAGACACATCCCAATCCCATGACTTCCACGAAGTATCTCATCGGTCATCTCAGTGTGTACACCATGTCGAAGCTTCTCAAACAACACAATGCATAATTTGTCTAATCCAAAGATAGCAACTTGTATGGAAAACACAGAAGAGGAAGTTCAGGTATTATGCCTGAAATTGAGATATTTTCATTTTTCTATAAATAATGAATGATTATAGTTATTACTGTCCGGTCAATGCACAATGTAAAAATCACTCAACATATAATGCATCATATTGCCTCCAATAAGCCACAATAGATTACGTCTACACGTAAAGAGTTCACCGAAACTTGCCAAATTTGGAAATTTGCATGGTTCACCATACTAGCCTCAGAGGTGATGGTGTTTGGCAGAGTAAGTGAAGGGCATTGCAGTGTTGCTGGTTTGGTGAGAGGATTTTGTTACTGCTGCTGAATCCATGGGCAAGCAAGGGACGACCCAGCGAACTGAAACATCTTAATAGCTAGAGAAAAACAAAAAAGAACAAAAGTGATTCCCATAGTAGCGGCGAGCGAAATGGGACAGCCTAAACCGTAAAAATGGGGTTGTGAGAAAGAAATACAAACGTCGTGCTCCTAGGCGAAGCAGCACAAATGCTTATTTACTTTAATTGAAAATAATGTTATAATCACCACTTTTAACGTCAAGTTGGAAACAAAAGGTGCTACAAACATAAAATTGTTGAAGATTTAACTATTTAAGAATTATAGGCTGAGGACTAATTTGCTTCGAAAGTAGTAGGTACAAGCCCCCAGCTCCACTGCAATTTTCTCGACTAAAAAAGGCATGTTTGAAAAGTGTTTATCAACACTTTAAATTATAAATAGATAGAATTAAGTTAATAGTAGTTGTGAATCACTCGAAATGTGTGGATAAAAAGTGACTTAAATATTTATATCTATTCAATAAAAAGCGCTATAGTTGCTATTGAGTTAACTGCACCATGTTGCTAAAATGGACATCCGCCGTTCAGACGGTCCAGAGTCGGCTGCTTGTAGATTAAAATACTGAACAGAGGAGACTGAGAAAAAACATCATACAGTAATGGCAAAAATAGATTCATTTTCTATACAAGATGCATATTTACAGGTAATACTATGGTAAATGTCTGATGCATACATCCACAGGTGTAATTATAGTAAATGTTTCTGAAGACATTGTTTTAAGTTTTGCAAAGTTACAGGCTTCGATACAAACGAGTCCATACCATTTGCAAAACACTCATCTGCACTCTCTGACAACGCATTCGCCGTCATCTGTAAATATATGAATAGAATTTGTTAGAGAATGTCGAGCAACTTGTCTTGAGCAGAAAGCACGTGGACATCAAAAATGGCTCCAGAATCAGCGAGTAATCAAATGGTTAACGAATAAAGATGAGGACTACAATCTCACCGCTATGATAGGAATCCTCTTTCTGGATTTTGTCGGTTCTTCTGAATTTGTTGAAGAGTCCAGCAGAGGTAACTGCAGCTCGACTCCGGCCTTCACTGCATCATCCCAGTTACCAGTTTCCTCAAATGATCGGATCAGCCTTGTAGCTTGAAGACCATCCATTACTGGCATGCATACATCCTGCAAAAGTTTCCCATTTCCAATGACCATGGAAGCAGTAATGAATATCGAAAAGAGTGCAAAAAAGAAATTTTTGATCCGTAGGCTTCTTATATAAATTTTATCCGATTTGGATGTAAAAACTAATTTTAGAATGAAACCATTAAATCACCCAACTGTTTAGTTCCAAGAGTGCTATATGCTATGTTTTTATGATGCTAACCATTAATTCTTGACCTTGTAACTTCGAAAAAACTCAGTGCATGTTAGGTAGGGAGGATTGGATAGAAAGGGATAGCATATAGGTGGAAATGGAAATTAAAATCTTGTTCATTCTATTGTCTGATCTTGTCGAGTATTCATACCAAACATGCACTAAGTTGATAAAGAACAGTCACTTCATGAACTCTAATAAACAACTGTGTATGCTAATGCAACTAATACGGAACTATCGTAAATATGTGTTCAATTTCTTTTATGCATACCATGAGAACAAGATTGTAGATGTTGCATTGAACTGCACGTACAGCTTCTACTCCATTATTCACGACATCTATGTTGTGGCCCAACTGCTTCATCATTGACTTTGTCACCATCACATTAATCTTGTTATCTTCAACAAGAAGGATCTTAGGTTTTAGCTCAGATTTTGAGATTTCTGGACTGTCGATGGGAGTACAGTTGAAACTTTCGACAGCCTGATCATGTGTTGGACATGTTACTCGAGAACTAATTGTTTCCAAAGTTTCACCTACCCGATTTCTTGTTCTGAAGTAACTGGTTGAGGGAACATGAGAATTGAAAATATCATTCACTTCACTATGAATCCGTGTATGTTTCACCGGAGTGCTTAGATTACTAGAATCTGAGCTATGCTGTGATGAAGTCCCAGGTTCAGACATCTCCATAACACCAGCTACCGAACACACATCTTCATCTGAACTGGCTTCCTTATGTGTATTATTACTATAGGGGGATAAGGAGTCTTCTGATGTTCCATTACACTCATGCGAGGCATTAAATCCATAACTGTTTGGTGAGAGTTTTGGGATCCATCCAGAACCGTGAGAAGAAACTAACGAACCCGAAATACGTGGTTCAAACAAGAAAATTCCTGAATGTAAATCATCGTCATTAGAGTCATCCGAGATATCATGGTTCACCATATCTGAAACTTCATCAGGATCATCTGAACTATCAGAGGCCGGTGAAACCTTGTAAGATAGTACGAATGTAAAAGTAGAGCCACAATGCTCTTTACTGGATACAGTGAGCTGACCACCCATGAGTTCAACCTGTTTATACACATAAAAATGTGAGGCTACTAGGACAATTATATCAGAATATATATCTACTGTGTAGTACTGTAGTTCATAAATAGAATAAATTAAGGATTACGGTTTCTTTCAATTGCTATTTCTATCTTCTTTTTTCATTCAAAAACCTGTCAGGCTATTATATTCAACAATATGCTCAGAAACAATTACACTGCTTCCAAAATATTATCTCCCAAGAAGAAAACAAAATTAGTCAAGGACATGAAATCTTGCAAAGTTGATCGTGTCAATTTAGATACAATTTTTTTTCTAGAACTCAATGTTTTACCGAAGAGTCGATCATGTAAATTCATATTATTTTTGAAAACAGTTATATATATTTGAATACAATTTACTTCAAATTAAACAAATGAAAAGATTTACATTTTGATGATTAAACCATCAAAGCATAATTTCGTTAATGATTACTTGCTATTATTATACTGACTACATATTATCTATACATTTCAACAGGCCTATACTTCTCAAATGTTACTTGGTTTTCTATATAGATATACGGAGCATACGAACATCCAATCAAATAAGACCCCTCAATTGAAGGAACCAGTATTTGATTCTCATGCGCATATAGTATGATATCACATTAAAAATTACACGAAGAGCACGTGATGCAATGTAAGGGTTCACGCCATAACATTTACAAGTATGGTCAGAAATTGGAATATACCATACACAATGGTTATCAGATTTCGCTATTACGAACTGACTGTAGGGTTATCAAAGTGTCCATGAGTTGAATGTAATTAACATGTTAAGGCAGGTGGGAGTTGGGCCATGCCTTGTGTGTAGACCTAATGAAACTCCAATTCACAAGAAGAATGTGATCCTAGTACGACAGGTTAAAAGATAGAGAAGTGGAACAAAACTAAAACAAGACAACGTAATTGCAAAGGATATGATTTTCTTAGATATTAGGTTAGACGTAAGATGGAGGGCACATAGCAGAGATAAAAATTCATGTAGGTTACTCAACATTTATTTGGAACAAGTTTTGGGTTGTCGTTTCTCTTGAAGAGCCTGTGAGGAAGCATAATTACTTTTCTAATCTTACTTTCAGCTACTTTGGACGATATTTTAGAATACAAGTTAAATTAGAAACTTAGTGCAACATATAGCAAGATTACCAATTGTTTACAGATTGCTAGTCCTAATCCTGTTCCGCCATACTTTCGAGCTGTATCTGCACCAACTTGCATGTATTTCTTAAATAGATTGGATATAGCATTTTCTGCCATGTCAAGATTGCAAGTTAGATATCAATGTTAGCAAAATCTCATTAATTGTTTCAAAGGATTTATTCGAGCAAAACGAACATTTTAAAGCAAATACCTGGTATTCCAATTCCTGTATCATAAACATCACAGCATATCCACACTATTGTTTCTTCACAGTTGGAGTCACTCTCTTGGACTCCTATCGTCGAACATTCATCTTCTTTTTTTGTATTGACTGAAACAGATGATTGATCGGAAGAAATATTCTGATCAGGTATTTGTTTGACCGCATCATGTGGCTCTGGTATCACATAAAGCTTTATACCAACCTTGCCTTCGTGAGTAAACTTGATTGCATTGCTGGTAAATGATAATATAGAAGCATTTACATTATTTAACTGATTTGTTTTAAAATTTCTCAAAAAAAGTGTAATAAAACAATTTGCCAATGAATTAGAAATGGAATAAGATGATTGTTCCACATCATATGAATAAAGATAGACCCAACTATATAATAATCTTGTACGTTTTTATAAAGACAAATATACCATGATATTTTGCAAAAATAAACAGTCAGGCACGTGTTTTTTAGACTCTTGCTCTTCCAGTTACATTATTATGCCAAAAATTACTGGGTGACCTTAAATGCAGGATTACTTCTCTACTCTAAAATGAATGGTGCACCTTCTCAAGAAAAATGTTCAGATATATGTGTTTTTCCTCTATTCTACCTAGAATGATAGTATTGGGATATCTAGTGCTTGATGGACTCTCTTATGAATGGTACCATCTCAAGAAAAATGAAGTATACAGAAAAGTGAACCTGCAAATATGAACAAATAGAAACTGAACTTGTAAAACCTACATGTACTACAAACAAGATTTCGAGCTACAATGTGTTAAGCACCTGATCAGGTTTGTGAGAATCTGACGAATCCTTAAGACATCTCCAACAACCTGAAATTGAAGCATTGTGTTCGTTAAAAAGTGCTATGGCTACAGAATCAGTAGGTATTCCCATCTCTCTAAACTCATACATCAAAAAAGAGCTCTATATTATTGATTGATAATGCAAAGGTTCCTCACCTCCACTGGGACATCATCTGCTACATGCCCTTCTAAGGTCAATGATTTTTGTAGTGATGCTGCTGCAGTCTGGAGTACGTGCTTTACTACCTCCCTTGGCCTAAACTTTGTAGCTTCCAATTTCATGACTCCTAATCAAAATGAAAGTTTTCATCAAAGTTAGACAGATGATAGACCTTGTTTGGTCTATATATGAGAGATTTGTAAGAAAAAAATGTATCAATAAAAGTACGTGTGCAATAGAAACTCGCACTCAATGCTTGATCACAAGGAAGAACTTGTCAAGAAAAGTTTCGAGGAAACACCTGATTCCACCTTGGAAAGATCAAGGATGTTATTTATCAGTTGCAGAACCATGTCACCAGAAGATAACATTACTTTCAAAAGTTGTCTTTGTTTCTTATCCAGTTTGGTGGCAGAAAGGATATCAGCAATACTTAGAACTCCAGATAGGGGAGATCTTATCTCATGAGACATGGTTGCTAACATTTGTTTTGCTCGCATCGTTTCCTCTGCAAGAATATTATGGACAAATGCGTGACCCTTATTACGTATAGCTGATCATGTAGAAAGCCATGATGGCTAGTATGCTTGGATGAACCTGTTATATGGATGGTTTTGTAGAGCTCTGTCTCCTTGGCTCTTTGTACAGCCATTTCCTCTCGAAGCTTTGCAATTTTCTCTCTTTTCCGGACCTGTAGTATGATTGGGATTGTAATAAGAAAAGATAATTATCATAAAGAAAAAAGCTAAAATGATGCATAGAAATTGGCACAAACTGTAAGCTACTAACTGAAATTTTAGAAGACAAGCCAGATAAGCCTTAGACTCAAACCTATAGTAAAACAGAGCACTGAAAACCCAACTGGCCTAAAGATTGTTTAGTTTTAACCATCAATCATACAGGCTAAAGCAGGTAGCAATGTTTGCATAGGTCAATTATATAATCTTGGAGAAGCGATTTTTTCTAGACGAGATATATACTATCTTCCTGAAAATTCTTCCAATAAAATTACCTGATCAGTCACTTCCATCCCCATATAATTGACACCAATAGGCTCCCTTGCCTTGCTGAAAACAGGTTCCACATAAATTAAGAATGTCTTTGCCCCAAATAGTTCAGTTTCAAATGTAATTTCCCTTTTTGCAGGCAATCCTCTTTCTAAAACTTCTCTTTTGAAGTCTTGAGATTCCTTTACACCAGAACCAGTGAAAATCTCCACGTCTGTTTTGCCTATGATATCCTGTCAAATCAAATTTTAACAGACACTGAAGAAAGGGCTTGGAAAATCAAACAAAACCTATAAGAAAATTAGCCAATGAGAGAGTCAACTGCTCCTCAGAACAGAAGTGAATGTTGCAAGCAACAGTTGACGAAAATCTGAAGTTGCAGAGATAGTGTACTTTAAGAAAATTAGCAAATTAGACTGTAATAAATTATCTGCGAGGAAATTACCTCCTCGCGTAAACTTGGAAAATGATTATAGATGAAGCGATAGCGCAGATCTTTATCCTGAAAAATAGGGAATGGTTTGTAAATCACAAATAAAAATCATTAATGATAGGATTTTACTCTTGAATAAGATAAAGTAGTTTGTAAACTTGGCGAAGCAAAAGGAACTGTTATAACAGTTATTTGTCTTCTTTAACCATTGACAATACTTATAAAGGTTATGATTAACAATCTATGGATTACTGAAGTTTGGAAGAACACAAAAAAGAGATAAGGACAGGACAACAAACTTTTAAACTGTTTCCCCTATAGAAGCCATGAAGTCCACCAAGGAAAAGCTGAATAGTTGAATAATAATCTAAAATTGCTATTTTAATTGTGTCTTATAATCCAATTTCCATCCCCAAAAGCCATCATAATGTTATCTACGTTGACTGGATCCAGCAGAAGAATGAAACAAACTGCAGAATACTGTCCCAGAAAAGACACAGAAAACAGGAATACACAATCAAAATATAGAGAGATATACCTGGTGACCTATGACTACTGGCGCATTTTGTAAGATAAAATGTAAGAAATTATCTGCTCTCTTCAAAACCTGAGATAATTCCTCCACTGGAGAGGATTGCCTTTCAAGGTTATCAATACTTTCCAGCAATTTATCCCGTAACACCCGCTCTCGCTGAAGACTTGCCTCTAACGATTTCTCTAAATGCATTGCTCGCTGCTTCCAGTAAATTATGCTGTCATATTCAGCATCTATTGGTATTATTTCGTCTTGGAAGATAACAAGATTCTTTCTCCGAGGTGCATCTTGATAGAAGTATCTTAGATTTTCATCCAAAATAGAAATTGGATGCTTATCGCCCCCATATCCATCCTGTTCAAAACGATGTTCTTCCAGTATCTCCAATTTCTTCAGTTCAACTGCTTGCTGTTGTTGGCTAAGGTTGTCAAGCTCTTCTCTGAGAAGTCGTACGGCATTGGCCTGTTTATATTCCCAATTCTTAACCAAGTAGGCCAACTGCGAGGAACCTTTCTCGCTGTAATTCGTAAGGTCTAAAAGACGCTTAAAATCAACTATTGTAGGTTCCTCATTTATTGTAACCTCCGCCAACATATCCTTGTCTGCTCCTGGCTTTTCAACATTGAACTGCCTCCCAGCTTCATTTATATTTTCAGGCCACATTGACGAGAGGACAATTTCCGTGTCTTCTGATTGATTGGACTCCATCTCACAACCCATGCCTTGTCCAGTTTATATAGTTATATCACAGAAAACTTCTTTAAAATTGTACTGTAAGTTTAATGAAGATCAAATTGCTATCAAAGATGATTCCATGCACTGATTTCTGAATCAGATCAAAACTTGTGATTCACTAAAGATTGAAGTCTGCACAGAAGATAATATTGGATTAAATTTCTATGCAAAAGAAAACACAAACTATATGATAAGAACTTTTTATCAATGCAAGTGAATTGAAAGTATCAAGTTATTCAATCATCAACACCAAAAGAGTTAAGCATATAAGCAAGGAATAAGCTGAACACATGACAGAATAAGTACTTCAGTCAAAATGGAAGGAAGCAGACTAAATAAATGTCTTGGAATATAGTGCAACCAAATGATAATATGCAAGGTTCGGGTTCAAAACTTCCATTTAAAATTCATCAAGCTGCCCGCAATCAGACCCCTCACTCCCTCAACTATGAAACGGAAACGAGAAATTTAGTTCTAACATAAAGCAAACAAAATTATTAGTTGCAGGATAAATTTTCAGGGATCCTCTTCTTGCAGAATCTGATGGCAGGAAATGAATACAATAAGATGAAAAATTTGGTCCAGATTATCCCAGCTCAATTCATGTCAGGGACAAGCTTGCGCTGAAAATTTAGCATAACTGATTAAATTTAGTGGCTCTAAATTCTAATAGCACAAAGAATATCAGGAAAACACACAACAAATCTATCAATACTGATTTCATGAACAGGAAAGAATAAATCGTGATGATATAATCATATTTTGGCCAATTAACAACCTCAAAGAATAATTCAATATAAAAACACTCAAAATCAGATTCTATGAAACGACATTCAACGAGCAGTTCAACTTATACATTACCAATGATGCAAAACATCCAATTTCCTGTCAAAATAAAGATAAAATTACAAAAGCCCATATCAGAAAATCAAATAAAGAGCCCAAAAATGCTGACCTTTATCCGTGTTTAGAGAAGAACAGAAGGCTAAGTTCTATCAGAACACAACACTTTACTGTAGATCTGAAAGAATCTATTGGAAGTTCTTGGTCAAATAAAAAAATAATAGCCAAGTATTTGGAGCACGTAAAAAATGTAGAGAAAAAGAAGAAGAGTGCATGTGCTAAGAAAAATGTGTAGGAAATTCAAGAAGCCATGTGCGCTTAGGTGAAAAATATTGCAGAAAACGCTCGAAAATAGACCTTGCTTATAATACTATTATTCACAATTCACAACTCTCTCTCTCCTTCACAGTGTGTTTTTCTTAATTGGATTCATGTTTTTTTTTTTTAGCTCGGCTCTCCGGTTACACTTCAACTTCAAGAGTCCGTCTGCCTGTAATGATTACTTATTTATAGAGAGTCAGCACATATAAGCTGGAATAGTAATATAATATATGTATACGTATTACAAACGGTGAAGGGAGGTTTTGCTCCCCGCCCTTTTACGAGGTGACGTGATTGGGCGGCGCGTGTAAACAACTAGAAAAGTTGGAGAGTACACAGGAATAAGAAAAAATGATAAACTTTTTAAGTTTTAAGCCCCACAATCATTATTTAAAAACTTTTTTCTACGTACACATTTTTAATCATACATTCGCTTAATAAAATATTGGATAAATTGCACATATCGTCTTTACATTTCACTATTATTGTGAAAAATATCATTGCCTTTTATTTTTGACATTTTCACCCTTATTTTCACATTTCATTAAGCAAAATGTACTTTTCATCCATTTTCTCAATTACAAATTGTGAAATAACGAATATACATTTTGTTTAAATAAAACAAAGAAAAAAGAACTAATTGCAACCATAATCCCAAATTTTTTAAAAAAGTACAAATGAGTTTCAAATAAATTAGTAAAAGGGCAATTAGCAATGTCCTAGCCTTTCACCATTATTGTGAAAAATGTTTCTGTCTTTCATTTTTTTATATTTTCATTCTTAATTATATATTTGATTGCGCAAATCATCATTTCTATTCATTTTCATTAAATTTCTCAATAAAAAAGCTATAAAATGACGAATATACCTTTTTATTTAAATATAAAAAATAAAAATAAAGAACTAATTGCAACTATAGTCCCAATTTTTTAAAAAAAATTCAAATGAGTCCCAAATAAATTATTAAAAAATTAGAAATTAAAAAAATTAAAAAATGCAAACGAGTCCCAAATAAATTATTTAAAAATAATTTTCTTTAATTTTATTTTTTATTTATTTAAATAAGAGCGTATATTCGTCATTTTACAATTTAAATTGAGAAATTGAATGAAAATAAATATAAATAATGGTTTGACAATTAAAGATGTAATTAAGGGAGAAAATGTTGAAAATGAAAGGTATGAACTTTTTCATAATAATAGTGAAATGTATGGATATTATTTACTAATTAATATTTCACTAATTTATTTGGGACTCGTTTGCACATTTTTTAAAAGTTGGGGCTATGGTTGTAATTAATTTTTTAATTTTTTATTTTATATAAATAGAATGGTATATTCGTCATTTCATAACTTTTAATTGAGAAAATGAATGGAAATAACATTTGCCCAATGGAATGTGAAAATAAGGATGAAAATGTCAAAAAATTAAATGTAAGAACGCTTTCCACAATAATAATGAAAGGTCAGAACGTTATGTATTAATTACCCATAAAATATTGGAAATATTGCAGCAGCAATCCCTATTCTTTTCATTTTTATTTTTTTTTGGTAGATTTTACCATAACCTTCAATTTGTACCTGTAAAGGTCCCTAACATTTCAAAAATATGCATCTGGAGTCCAAATGAATGGAAACCATCCAGTTAACCATTAGTTGAAAAAAATAATTTTAACCAAATTTAATAAGGGCATTTATGTTAATCACATATTAAATCTTTTAAAAATCATTAAGCTTAAAACAATATGAAAAAAAAAAAGAGAAAATAAAAGAAATAAAAATAAAAAATCATCTTCTTCCACATCTCACCCAACCCCCACTCTCCCCACCCCCAAAACCTGAAAAACACTTACCCACCCTTCGACTTGTTATTGCCGACCACTACCTGCTACTGCCCGCCATCGCCGGCCACCATTGCAAACCAAAATTAGCATTTCAAACAACAACATAAAGAATTTTCCCCAATTTGAAAATTAGAATCTTAAAACCAACTCTATCGAAATGGGACGATGCATCGAATTGGCTAGTAAATCTATTGAAAGGAAGAGAAAAATCGGACAAAAGCTTTCCCCAGTAATTCAAATGCTGATGACAGGAGATTGATAGCTCCGATACTGAAGAAGGAATACTCAAGCGGAGATGAGGAAAAAACGATGGTGTTGACTCTATAAGTGTGAGTTCATATGAAGTGGGAATTAAGAAAGTAGATTGTGATGATATGGAGAACCAATAAGCCTGTTAATAGTTCTGATAAGGGATATATATCCCACATCGATAAATGATGTTGACACAGATCAATTAATAAATATCTTGTGCTACTCTTCTTAATAAGGTTGACCTTTTAAAATGGAACTCCAATTCTTAACATGATATCAAAGCCCCATTATACTCCAATGAGCGATTCGATCCCGTTAAGACCTAAAATGGGTACATGGATTTCAAGATTTGATTGCTAAAATGAGCCACCATCTTGTGGGGGCGTATTAAGGGATATATATCCCACATCGATAGATGACGTTGACACAAACCAATTAATAAAAATCTTGGGCTATTCCTTTTAATAAAGTCGACCTTTTAAGATGGAACCCCAATTTTGAACAAGTTCTGCATTGGGTTTGTGCTCTATGTGCATAGGGATATGGGGACGGAAATGACTCCGATATCAATCAAGAGCGCTCGAGAACAGTCACTCCCATGAGAGCCTCCACTCCGGTATCAAAAAGCCATATATGCTCGGGTCCATCAACTCCAATAAGAAGTTAGAACATATTGTCTCTCGAAAGTGGTCAAACTATTACAATCCCGACTAAGATGAGAGATGAGGCTACCAGGTTTTTAAGATTGTGGTTTTCAAATTGGTTTTGGTTTGCAGAGGTGGTCAGCGATGGGTGATAGTGGCAGGTGGTGGTCGGCGATAGCAACTCGGTGATTAGGTAATTATTTTTTGGGTTTTGGTTTGGAGTAGGTGTTGTGTGTGGGGAGTGAATGTGGGTAAGATGAGGAAGAAGATGATTTTTTATTTTTATTTTTATTTATTTTCCTTTTTTTAATATTATTTTTAGCTTAATTTGATTTTTAAAAGGTTTAATATGTGATTGACATAAATGCCCTGTCAAATTGGGTCAAAATCAAATATTTTGGTCAACTAACAGTCAACCGGATGATTTACATCAATTTGGACGCCAGATGCATAAGGTTAGGGACCTTTGCTGACAAAAATTGAAGGTTATAATAAATTTTAAAAAAAAATTGAAAAGGTTAGGGACCGCTGCTGCAATTTTTCTTAAAATATTTTGCATGTAAATTAAAAAAAAAATCTACCTTTTACCACACATTCTTCTAAAAATTACTATTTAAAATTTTGTTATTTCAAAATAATGGTTGTCAAACATGGACTAAATTTCAATGATGCTACATGTATAGAATTATTTGACAATTTTTTGACAGATTTCTATCTAGCAAGATTTTATTGAATGTTAGACAATACACGAAGTTAAACTAGTCAATGCAGTATTGGCACCTCATCATATGCAATGCTTGTACATTTCATCTATACAATTACTTTAATTCTTTAAATTTACATAGAACAGGTCCCATTGTTCAAAAGCGGGATTTTTTTGATTTTCCAATTTATTTAATGTTGTAATATTGTGGAAAGTGACAATATAAATGTTAAAATGAAAAGCGACTTTCACACAATTGTTTGCTTGGAAAAGTTTAAAAAATTAAAATCAACAATTAATTTTAATTACATAATTTATAAGATTCACAAATTTTATCAATCTTTTAATCATATATTTCAACAATTTTTACCAAAATTTG